ACTCAAGGCTACTCGGCAATCCGAAAAAGAATAAAGCAAATCTCGAAGAAGAACACAAGCTGAGAATTAACCCATATTCCCTACCCACGCCATCGCCTATCGAGCACCCAGGTCTGCCGCGATCGATCTATAGCCATCCGATCGTCGTACTGACCGAACAGACGCAGCACAGAACTCCAAGATGAGAATGACGGAGAAAGAATCCCCCGACAGACGTCTTCCGTTGACCTAGCGTCACCCGAAAGACACCGAAACGACCACTCCCTCAGCCCATCGATGTTTTTTTTCTTAGAAACACTGTCGTCCCCTAATCCCACCCCCCGTCGGAAAACAGGAAAAAAAACGAAGGTCCTACCGAATACTCCCGAGTGTACTAGATCTCCAGCTGCCAAACCGCCGGCGAAACCACCATCAGCTGCTAAAGCTGCCTCTACGTGACTCAGAAAATCATACGTAATTACGGCACTCACATGACGGGATCTTCCCAACAATAGAAACAGGTCGGAATCCCGCACCGATTCCACATGACGAGGAGACAAGCTACCAGTTCACTTTCCTCCCTTCTTCATGGCGGCCTTCGTCACCTTGCCTTCCTTCTCCTTCTTCTCCACGGCCTTGATCACGCCGACGGCCACCGTCTGCCTCATGTCACGCACGGCGAAACGACCCAGAGGGGGATACTGGGCGAAGGTCTCGACACACATCGGCTTCGTTGGAACCATCTTCACGAACCCAGCGTCTCCGTTCTTCAGGAACTTGGGCTCCTTCTCGAGCTCCTTGCCCATTCGCCGATCGATCTTCACCACCAGCTCCGCAAACTTCACCGCGATGTGGCACGTGTGGCAATCCAGCAYCGGCGCATACCCGTTACCGATCTGCCCAGGGTGATTCATGATGATMACCTGGGACRTGAAGCTCGCCGCCTCCTTCGCGGGGTCGTTCTTCGAGTCCGAGGCCACGAATCCTCTCTTCAACTCCTTCACGCTCACGTTCTTCACGTTGAACCCCACGTTGTCACCAGGGAGCGCCTCGGTCATTGCCTCGTGGTGCATCTCCACCGACTTCACTTCAGTGGTCAGCCCAGAGGGTGCAAACGTCACCACCATGCCAGGCTTGATGACGCCCGTCTCCACCCTTCCCACGGGCACCGTTCCAATACCGCCAATCTTGTACACGTCCTGAAGAGGCAGACGCAGAGGCTTGTCGGACGGCCTCTTCGGCTTCGAAATCAGATCGAGAGCCTCCAAAAGAATCGGGCCCTTGTACCACGCCATGTTCGAAGACCTCTCGATCATGTTGTCGCCCTCGAAGCCGGAGATGGGCACGAATGGGATTTTGTCAGGGTTGTACCCGACCCTCTTCAGGTAGGTCGACACCTCCTTGTTGATTTCGTTGTACCTGTTCTCCGAGTACTTGGGCGTAGTGGCATCCATCTTGTTGCACGCACAGATCATCTGCTTCACGCCCAGCGTGAACGCCAGCAGGGCGTGTTCACGGGTCTGCCCATCCTTCGAGATACCCGCCTCGAAACCTCCCGTCGTCGAGTCAATCACCAGCACAGCGCAGTCCGCCTGCGAAGTGCCCGTGATCATGTTCTTGATGAAGTCGCGATGGTCGGGCGCATCGATGACAGTCACGTAGTACTTCGTCGTCTCGAATTTCCACAAAGCGATGTCGATGGTGATACCACGCTCACGCTCCGCCTTCAGCTTGTCCAACACCCAAGCGTACTTAAAGGACCGCTTGTTCATCTCAGCCGCCTCCTTCTCGAACCTCTCGATCACACGCTTGTCAATGCCACCCAACTTATAGATGAGATGGCCCGTGGTCGTCGACTTSCCGGAGTCGACATGGCCGATGACCACGATGTTGATATGTGACTTCTCCTTTCCCATGGCTGCCTACCGCACGTGCGACGAACGACAAAGAGAGAGAGGATATGGCGGCCACAACCAACAAAGTCACGAGGAAGAAGCACGACAACCGCAGCGCACCACACAGAACCAACGGCGCGCGCCGCCGACCGATGAAGCGGTTGCACGCTGATGTCTGCGTGAGGTCCCGGGTATGCCCATAATTTTGCATAGGTATCTCTTCTCTAATACTCTAAAGGAAATAGAGGGTCTTGCGTGATCGTCCCACGCGAGCCCTCGACCACAGTGTTGGGAACGGCCAGAACGGGCCCACGGGCCCAGCGGGGAGCGAACGAGCAGACGCCAACGAAACGGCGCGAGGCGGGCGGGGCGGGCTGGGGTCGGGGACGCCAACGAAACATCGCGAGGCGTGCGGGGCAGGCCGAAATGGCACGACGCAGAGGCCCTCGACCACAGTGTTGGGAACGGCCAGAATGGGCCCACGGGCCCAGAGGGGAGCGGCCGAGCAGACGCCAACGAAACGGCGCCAGGCGGGCGGGGCGGGCCGGGGGCGGGGACGCCAACGAAACAGCACGAGGCGGGGGGGGCAGGCCGAAATGGCACGACGCAGAGGCGGGACGGAACGGTGCGAGGCGGCACAGGCGGTGCGAAATGGCAGGATGCAGGGGAGGCGGGGGGGCGAGGGGGAAACGGGCAGCAAGAGGCGTGAGAGGGCCGGGCCGGTGGGAAACGGGAGCACTGCGGGAAAGGTGCAACGAGATGAGGTGGGGGTAGCAGCGGTGCGAAACGGGAGCGTTGTGGGAATGGTGGAGCGGGATGTGTGTGTGTGTGTGTGTTAAGAGAACAGGACGCTACTGCGCAACGCAGCGAGCTACTCATAACAAAACGCGTCAAAGTGCAATACATAAGAAATTGAGCAAACTGATATTACTACGGCATTCGGAGCACTAGAATAGCACCTAGGATTTGCATATATTCAACCCTTCTCAGTTCGACCTTGTCCGAGCACCAACGTTTACATGGCACCTTCTTCATACTCATGAAGGGTGAGAGAGGAACTGGGGAAGCATTGATGGGTAGGAAACGCATTATGCATTTAAAGGAGTGCAACATAAGAAAATGAAACGATTGAGCGGGTCAATAGGCGCTAAGAGCTCAGGGATTATTTCCCCAAAAAAAAAAATTAAAAATATATAGCCCAAAGCACACATGAGAGGACGAAGGGGGTAGCATACATATTCAGAACAAAATGTCAAAACTCACGTGGAAGACAATCATAACACATGGATCCTTGAAGTGGGTCAAAAAAAATTCACGGAAGAATGAAACTGTCAAGCGAAGGGTGCACCGAGGAAACCAATCAGAATAACGATTCATCATCAATTCGATACTTGTCATAGAGCCAATACTCCTCCAATACTCCAGATCGTAACAACGCACACATACAATGAACCGACCTCTGCGCGGCAAGCACTAAAACGTTAAGACAGCGCATCCCAAGCTCTCAATTGCTACAAATCAATTCAAACGGTTGAGTAATCTACCTACCCACAGACGAAACACGAGACACACACGCTACACTAAATCAATCAGGCAGCGAAGAGTAGCAGAAAAATATGATTGACGAGTGGCGCAGACGCATGATGAAAGCCAGCAGAGTAATGGCACAAGCAAAGAAAATCCAGGTGACGCCTATCTGCCCAGGAGGTGCCGAACATACATCCCCCTCCCATCTTCCAAAATACACACGGAGTGGATCTACAGCAAAAAGCGAAGATGTGGACATTGCCCCCATTATGAACCCTACGATGACAGCAATCACCACCCCAGATATCCCCATATCCATGATACGTTATCCTAACCTCTTGATTATCCGACCAAGCACTTTACAGAGGCGAAACACACAAAGCACTACACAAACAGGAGGGAGGCAGATTTATTGTTTAGACACAACGTCATCAAGGAACCATGTATTGTAGCCCCCCGATCCGAGCAAACAATCCCTCATAAACACCGAATCTAAACATGAGCACAATACTTCGAATGCGTCATCCTTTCCGTGGCATTATGAGCACCACAGTACGACTTGGACACAGTGCCGTGAATAGCAGATAACTCCATGACAACGAAGAAGGCCAGCAGCGCCAAGAAGATCGCGAAAATGGCCACAATGGCAACTGAAGCGTGAGCAGCATCCATTCGGGAAGCAATCCTTACGCAGAAGAAGTTAATTCCTACGAAACGAGTCGGTGACAACCACACAACAAAATGGGAGCAGGGGGATGGTAAGTAGCATGCGCATTCGAAAAAATTTAAAAAAAAAAGAGGGGAATACAGGTAATCCCAATTCGGTTAAACGACCCTCAAATGTTGACGAAACAATAGGGTTATTAGTGGGATTTCCCTAAAGCTTTTTCACCAACTCCCACTTTGATTGGTTCATCAGGGGAAGAAGTAACCCTTAGTTTTCGTACCGAAAGGGACTAGACATTCATTCATGTCCTCGGGGAATGGGGGAAGTAGAAAATATTTTTTCGGGTTTTAGGGGATATGATCGATGGGGTACTTCACCACTCCGGCATCTGAGGACGAAGCTCCATTCATTTTGACAATCAGACACTCAAATCGACAGATCCTTCTCAGCAGACGCAGGCGACGACCCAGCTCTCACGGGGGCACTCTGGAGTATAGGACCCAGCCAATAGGACTAGAGGAAGAAAGCGGGGAGATGGAGACAGAGAGGGGTTTGAGGAAGAAAAACGCGTATAGGGAGAAGAGGAAAGGAGCATAAAAGTTCTTTGCGGAGAACGCGTCGATGGCGCTGCGGCGAAACAACGAACAATGGGCCGCTGGAAGTATGCTTGACCAGCTCTCAGTATAGATGACGGGAGCAGGAAGGCATATCCAGGCGACTCATGAAAGAGGACGATCAACAGTGTGGAATGTAATTATATATCCAACCTTAGGGGTCAGTCGTACGCTGCGAATTATTAGGCAGGACGCTAGTCGGGGAACCCTAAGGATAGGCACGGAGTCTGAATCATCGTCTGTTTGTTCTGAGAGGATATGGGAGGGGTGACCAGGGTCCAGAGGCGCTAAAAACAGTAATACCGTATTTGTAGTGCCAAAAACGGGTCCCTTATGAAAGGACATATATATTTAAGGGAGGTATATTATCACTCATTTTTCATTTTTTATTTTATTTTTTATTATTTTTTTATTACTTATTTTTATTTTTATTTTTATATACTTTTTTATTTATTTTTTATCTCTTGTTTTTTTTTTTTTTTTTTTTTTTTTACTTTTTATAATTTAATTTTTTGGTTTTTATCACTCCCGATTTTATATATATATGTTTGTACATATAAGAGGGGGAAGAGGACAACAAACCAGGGGCTGTGACAAACTGTTTCGTCGGAGTCGGTGAAACTCCGACGAAACAGTTTGTCACAGCCCCTCGTTTGTTGTCCTCTTCTCCCTCTCTGCCTACGGTTTACCGGGCAGTTCTATTTGACGATATATATATGCT